CCCCCCCCCCCCCCCCCTCACCGTGCGACCCCGCATTGTTTTAATAAAGTACGCATCGTCATAGATTAAATTATATTAAAATAATCAATAAAATATTCAACTCAGAGTTTATATTTCAAAATGGACTTGAACAACACTACTTCATGGAAATTCTGCGAGGTTTTTAATTCAAAATCTCGCCATCCAATTGACGGCAAATTTTCGTCAAAGGCATTTTATATCAACTATATAATCATCATCGTTTTCAACATAATTCTCGCGGTTCTGACAGTTTCATTAAATTTGGTAACAATTCTCGCTTATTGGAAATCGACGCATTTACGGAGAAAGAGTTCATACTTTTTGATAATGTTGTTATCGATCACTGATTTTGCAACAGGGCTGTTTGGGAACGCTGGCTTCATGATTGTAATGGCAACTAAAGTCTTAAAACAAGATCCTGATTGTTTAATGTTCACGCTTTTGGAGGTACTGGCATTTTGCGTGGCTGCGATGTCTTTGATGACTTCAGTCCTACTAAACGCTGAGCGATATTTAGGTATTGTCCACCCATTTTTTCATCGACGCATCGTAACAAAATCCAAATTGTTGGTGACAGCCGTGATTTTATGGTGTATTGCAATATTCGTAGTAAATTCCCGAATTGTGTTCAACAGAAAGGCTAAATTTTTGTCCAGCCTTGCCGTACTTTTAATCGTCATTGCGTGTATTTATTTTTATGTGGCTATATATGTGGCAAATCAAAAAACACGCAAAAGAAGCAGAGCTGAAGAGGTGAACAATCGCGCTGGGAAAATCGCCCAAGATATAAAACTAGCAAAATCATGCACAATTGTAATTGGCTGTACGATTGTGTGTTTCGTTCCATTTGCAGCGACAAATCCTATTGTAACTCATAACTATCTAAAATACTCGCTGAGAAATTGGGCTTGCACATTGGCGTTTGCTTCCGCATCGTTAAATTCACTGGTGTTCTTTTGGCGGAATCCTGCGCTGAGAAATGAAGCGAGGAAAGTCCTAATACTTTGTACATCCTAATATGATTTGCATTAAAGGGAAATGGCAATATAAACTTTTATTTTCCCATTTGAAAGAACTTTTGAAACTATATATTAACTTATTTTAACTTTTTTTCATATCTTGCTTAGTTAGTTCCAGGAACGCCGGAACTGGGGGGCAGGAGGGGCAGCCGCCCCCGTTGCACTTTACCAGGAGGGGCAAGGATGGTGCCCTTTCAATTTAAAGGATTGCATTGGCGAAATAGCGAATTGTCAGAAATGTTGGTGCAATTCTTTTACGAATTTGCTTCAGAAAAGGCAAGAAATGCAGTCATCGAGCTTAATTCAAGAATAGCACAATCGCCTGGCGGAGAACCCCCTCACACCCTTACCATCCAATAAATACAAAACATGATTAGGCGAAGTTCAACTCCCGCGATGTTTTGCAAACATCTCTTAATATAAATATATATCAATTCAAAACTGCCCTTTCACGAAAATCTGCCCCCCTTGCCTTCACATCGTTCCGGCGTCCCTGGTTAGTTCTTGAAATATTTTCACTTGAAGCGGTAATAAGATGTCCGCCATCTTGGATAAATTTGTGATCTCATTAATGGTAGTTTTGGGCCTAGGTTTGGCGACGTCTCCACAGGGATTATAAACCATATAAAAGTATTCGTTGCTGACCAAATATTGATTGGTAGATGTTTTAAATGTTTTTGAGTGATCTTGATATTTCGAAGGGCAGTCGGACTATAGTTTTGAGTGCAACTGAAATGATTAGTGTTTGTCTTGATAAAAATATTGCGTGACCCCTGTTGTGGCGTAACATGCATATCTACAAAAATTGAAGATGGCTGACATTTCATTCCTTTCAATCGAAATATTGTGGAAGTAAGTTCATCCGTCTTGTAATAGGTTTCACAGACTAAAATAGATTTGTCAACTTTGCTGATCAGATGGTCGGCTGATAAAAGAGACAAAAGAGATTGGTTTTATCTTTTCTGACAGAATTTATAATTTTAAACTTGGCTGTACTATGAAAGTCTTGTTCTGATCCAAAGCCCTGAATAGACCACAATGCCTCATGATTTAGAATGCATGGCAAAACGTCCATTTTGTTGCATTTTGCAACGGGACCCACTTGATCTACAATCTACACAAAGTACTTCGCGGAACAATTCAATGATTGCGGGCTCACGCACGTGGTTCAAAATCAAAACAACACATACAAGTCAAATTCAAAATTTTCAGTTTTAATCGTGATTTTTATGCAGAAATATTGTAGGAAAGTCGCCACAATGAAGAATACGTATAAAAAAGCTCCTTAGAGTAACATTCGGATAAAATTATGGTAAAAAAATCCCCAAAGCCTGAGCTATCTGGGCTGGAAGAATGTCCGGATGGGAGCCATGGGAGTATGGGACCGCTCAGTCTCAGAGCCAAAGGATCATAAAGAAGTCTCGCAAATTACGCAAAAAGATGGCACTGAGTAAAGACGGTGGTGTTGAAACTAGCTAAGATATTGTGAAAGAATTGTAAAGTTGGCTAGTGTGAAACAAACTAGACTGAAAGGTGAGAAATAAAATGGATCAAGTACTAAAATGTGTCGTCATATTTAAAAACAGGCATTCCGCCCATCCCATTTAGCCTGCATGCAGCCTGACTTTAAAGGGGGAAAAGTCAGTCTGCGAATCAGGGAACAATACCGTGTTCGCGCCATCTTTTGAATTGCATGGATTTCTGTATTCAAACGTGATTGGCTATTGCTTAGAAGCTTAATACACGCGCTTCGATTGGCCAATTGTTAATACATTCAGTTCAACAGAATGATATACAGGGTGCCCGTATCACAGTACCCGTATTGTTACAATTTGAATACACTAGCACTAAGCTGAACGCAAACATGTGTAAAATATTGGCAGGGTGCATATATTAAGTATTTGACTTATTAAGAATTTAAAATATCTTTGTAAAGCACACATCTCTTGGGAATTTTAAACAACTTCTTAAACGGTTTCTTCATGCATACACTGAATTATGTCAAGCTTTGATGCACATGTGAGTTCAGCAGAGTGCTGAGGCATTCAAATTCTAACAATATGTTATTTCAATAGTTTTTGGGGTTTTGGGACACTCTGTACTTAGCAAAATGGCATCTTGAGAACGCTCAATGAGAACCCTTTCATACATCTTTTGTATGGGCTTCGTGCATAAATTACACACAACAATGCTCTTCGCGCTTTTGTCTACCATTTTTTCATTCTGGAATGTGTTTGAACTGAATGTATTAACAATTGGCCAATCGAAGCGTGTGTATTAAGCTTCTGAGCAATAGCCAATCACGTTTGAATACAGAAATCCATGCAATTCAAAAGATGGCGCAAACACGGTATTGTTCCCTGATTCGCAGACTGACTTTTCCCCCTTTACAGTCAGGCTGCACGCAGGCTAATCCCATTTTAATAATATAAGATAAAAAATTTGGAACCCCCTTGGATGCAATTTGTGCAAGTTACCCCAGCGGATATGGACAATGTGTAGTTTGCTATCTAAACTTGGAGTTACTGGCTAACAACTTTAAAAATCTTTGCCTCGCACTTGGTTTCTATGCGGTCGTATTATAAATGGTCGTAAAAATAGAGTCACATTTTTTCTCAATGGCCAGTTTATAAGAGCTTATACCTGTAAACTACATATAAATCATGACTATTCCCTAGTTATAATCACTTTGTGTATGTTCAGTTCCAAAATGTTGTATTTTGGAATTTGGCTGTTGCAGACCTGTCAAGTTCTGAAAAATGTGGTTTGACCCACATATGATGCGGATCAGCATCGACACGTAAAAGAGTACACTACACCCGACCTCAGTGCTTTGGGTATTTTGTCCTTAAAAGAGAAAAAGGTTGAGAGCCGTTTAGTTGATCGAAAGACAAATCTTATATCAAGATGTGGGAAAGCAGCACGACAAAGACGGTTGATTTGCGTGCGAATTTGCAAGGAGTGAGTGCCCGTAAAACTCTTCTCCCTAAAGGTCCAGTAAGGATCGACCATCCTTCATTGGTCAATATAGATTGAATTATATTTCATTATTTTTTAACCTTTGACGAGATTGCTACCTTTGAAAAAATTTTACTCGCTTGTAATAGATTTATTTCATTTACATATCAAATGAAACTAAACTGTTTTCTTGGCCATGCCCATGGGCAAATATCGCAGAAGACAATGCAGGACTTCGTATAGACATTTAAGCAATTACGCTGAAGCCAAAAAAAATTTTAAATTACCGAATTTGCGAAATATTTCCGCTATTTGCCGTAATTTGAAGATTAAAAGATAGTCGCTATCACGCATTTTTGTTCTCCAATAGTTGTGATTTTAATTGCTTCTTAAAGATAATTATTTGATTACCTTGATACCATTGACATTGTAATAAACCACAATAACATCCTTGACTTTGTACTGTTGTAGGTTTGCGTGGTGAAATAAATATAATTGCTTTGTTTTATGGATACGTTTATTTATTTGCCTCTGCTTTGGCGAAGCTTTCGATCCATGATCATTTAATCACTATATATATAATTGGCTTTCTGTACCTCTGATGACGTATATGAGAGTTTTGCAGTTGAGAGTTCTTGCATGACTCAACCAAACACAGCTCGACCTCCAAGGAGAACAGTTTAGACTGAACGGATACATGTATATAGAGCTATCATTGAGTATAACTATAAATTAAATAAGTTTAGTTTTTCTACTGTCGTAACGGCACTGAAAGACCTAATTATCCATGATTTCTAGCCTGTGTATACAGCTGTTACTCTCGACAAAGCGGGCGAGAGAACGTCTGTGAGTTGGATGCATGCATAATCCTTGTTCAGGTCACGTGGATAGTTCCCAGATTTGGGGACCGGCCTCTGATTGGACAGTGCTTTATTTGAATAATTTGTGACAAATGAAGCTATTTCATTGGTTAATTGTTAATTCGCATGCGTTTAAAATAACAACACAAAAATTTTAAATTCAGATTTCCAGATGAAGAATCAAGATTTCCTTCGCCCCCCTTCGGGGCATACAAAAGTTTGAAAGACTTGAAATACAATCTGAAAAACGATACACCAGAAATATATTGCATATATTTCTCGATGAAGACATTTGTTTTGAATGCGAACAATGCTGAACGATGATCATTGCCGGCAAGTCCGGTGTACAAGCTCAGTTATTGGCGTACATATATGGCGTATATTTGTTTACAAAGACAAAGCATTAAATATAAACACAACTGGTTATTCAAAAGGTGCATTATAAAGTAATTAAATTAATTCATCAGTATACAGTATACAGTATAAGGAATAAAATAAAGAATAAGTGATATTAATGTAGATGTTTTCAATACTGGTATACAGATATTTCAATTAAGGTTGTCCCCGAGCAAAGCAGAAAAGTCGAATACGAGCGCGAAAGGCTTACTGGGAATCGCTAAAAAATTCATTAATTTGTTAGCGATCCCATCAGCCCTTCGCGCTCTTATTCGACTTTTCGGCTTTGCTCAGGAACAACCTTAATTGAAATAGCTGTATATAATTCAATAGTAAGATGTGACTATAATATAAGTAAGAAGTTAGTCCAGTTCAGTGTGAAATGATAACTGTTTAAATGAAGTTAGCTAGTTCAGTGCGAAATTCCAAAACCAAATGATATCACGAATGTTGACAATGAAGAATAGAATTTGCAAGAATAACAGTGAAGAAGAAACGATAAATACAAGCTCTGAACACCCACTATACAGTATATATTATAGAAATAAATCGAGTGAAGGCGGTTAGGTTTGGTCTGGCAGTAACAGTGGACCAATATAGACCTTTGTGTACTTATACAGGAGGAAAACTTAACTATAAACCAACTTATAGACCAAGAGCGCCTGCTCGGCTGCATAACTTTCTCTATGAAAGTTGGTCAAAGGAATCAACAATATAGATTATATAGTTTGAATTATATTTCATTCTTTTTAACCATTTGTCGGCGAGATTGCAGCCTTTGAAAACATTTTACTCGCTTGTAATAGATTTATTTCATTTATATACATATCAAATGAAACCAAACTGTTTTCTTGCCATGCCCATAGGCAAATATACAGCCAATTCAAAAAGGTGTTCCTTTGCAACTCTAAACTAAACCTTAAACTCTAAGCGCGCAAACCTTAATGGGAGCTATTCGTGAATGAGTTGTTCTCGTAAGGAGATATTTACCATGTCTCTAAGAAATGGACCCCATATATGATTTCTAAACTGATTAAATGACGCTCCCATTACGCTTTGCACGCTTAGAGTTTAAGGTTTATAATTTAAGGTTTGCAACGGACAACTTTTTTTGAATTAGCTGCACATTCGATCAAGCAATTTACGCCGAAGCTAAAAATATTTCCGAAATATTTTCGCTATTTGCCGTAATTTGAAGATAAAATCCTAATTGCTTCTTAAAGATAATTATTTGGTTATCTTGATACCATTGTTATGAACCACAGTAGATCCTTGATCGACCTTGTAGGTGCATGGCAAAATAAATATAATTGCTTTGTTTTGTGGATACGTTTATTTATTTGCCTCGGCTTTGGCGAAGCTTTTGATCCAATCATTTAATCACTTTATATATATATATATATATATATATATATATATATATATATATATATATATATATATATATATATATATATATATATATATATATATATATATATATATATATATATATATATATATATATATATATATATATATATGTAGGTGTTTTTGAACTTCTTACGAGTATGAACCGGGCAAGCAGAAAATCAATTCTACTTGACCACGGCTGGGAATCGAACCCGCGACCTTCGCATTTCTAGAACGACGCTCTACCTTCTGAGCTACAAGGCCAAGTTGGGAACGATATGTAATTTATTTGTGATGTTAATGACATGAACGAATTTCTTCCTTTCCATGCCTGGTGCCAGCTATTAATCCAGCGAATGTTGTATATGATTTTTTTTTTCTTGAGATTTTACTCGCGAAGGTCGCGGGTTCGATTCCCAGCCGTGGTCAAGTAGAATTGATTTTCTGCTTGCCCGGTTCATACTCGTAAGAAGTTCAAAACACCTACACATTACATCACGAGTAAAATCTCAAGAAAAAAAAAATCATATGTATATATATATATATATATATATATATATATATATATATATATATATATATATATATATATATATATATATATATATATATATATATATATATATATAATTTGATTTGGCTTGGTTTGGTTTTCACGAAATCGAATGTTCACGAAATTAAAATGTTACATCCACTTGAAATATATAGTTGAATGTGTTTGAACCACAATAGCAAGTGCCTTTAATCTTTATGAGTGCGTATCTTAGATATCTTATATACACTAGATAGTGCAACTAATTATTCTGCAATTCAAAAATTGAAGCTGTGATTGCAGACTTAGGATATTCCCATGAAATGAAAAGACTCGTATGTTTTCTATTTCTTAAACAGGGAACTTAAACATTAAGTTAATTAAACCTATTCCAAATACATTTTGAAACTATTCAAATGATGAAAGTTATTGTTGTTTTTTAAGCGTTTATTAGCGAGTGGGAAACTTCAACATGGCCGCCATCTATTCAAATGGGGGTAACCGCTGGAATATTCTTGGCTTCAATTTTACTAAAAGTGATGCGCTATCTAGTCTATATAAGATATCAATGGTGCCTTTCTGTACATCTGACGTATATGAAAGTTTTTCAGTTCGTTGAGAGTTCTGGACTCAACCAAACACACTCGATCGACCTCCACGGAGAACAGATTAACAGTTTAGACTGAAAGGATATGTAGAGCTATCACTGAGTATATAACTATAAATTAAGTCAGTTTAGTTTTTCTATCGTCGTAACGGCACTGAAAGACCTAACTATCCATGATATCCAGTATTAACATCAGTATTAACTGCAAACTTAAATTATAGTTTAACCGTTTCCTCCTGTTGTAACACTGTCTAAAACATGAAGTGCATGGTGACCCCTTATATGCAGAATTCAATTTATTATCAATTTAGAAATATACACAAAAATTACAAACCCGTGTAATTAGCAAAGCTATTCCAGGCGGGAAGTATATACAATTTTTAAATTAATTCATCAGTACAGTATAATGAATAAAATAAAGAATAAGTGATATTAATGTAGATGATTTCATTAGTGGTATACAGCTATAAATTAATCAGTACAGTATAAGGAATAAAGTAAGAATAAGTGTATTTATTATTAGCATGACAAAATTACTGCATGAATGCTGATTGGTTGAGAGGAGTACAATTATTTCATTAATTGTACTGCAGTACAATTAATGATTTTCCCAAAACAAACAAAATGGCGGAAACATACTTTAAACATGCTTTAAACACATGAAGCGTGAAATGAAATTGCCGTGGAGGAACTAGATGAAAATATGAACAAAAGCACCAAATTTTGCTATAACAAAAGAACTAAATAAAAATACAAACAAAAGCACCAAATTTTGGTTGAAAGTCTGGCAGGACTGGGCTTTGGCAATAGAATATGATGCTGACATTGAGAAGTACGTATCCAATTTTGTCATGCTAATAATAAACAAATAATCATGCGATGTTGCTCGTACAATTCGGGATTAATAGTACTCGTGATGTTTGGAAATTTGCCAAATTGGACTCGCCCCGGCGGCTCGTCCAATTTTGGCAAAATTTCCAAACATCACTCGTACTATTAATCCCGAATTGTACTCGCCATCGCATGATTACCTATACTAATGTAGATGATATCAATACTTGTATATATAATTCAATAGTAAGATCAAAAGTGTTGGACTATAATATAAGTAAGAAGTTAGTCCAGTTTAATGTGAAATGATAACTGCATGTTTAAATGGATTTAGTCTAGTTCAGTGTGAAATTCCAAAACCAAATGATATCACGAATGTTGACAATGAAGAAGTAGATTTTGCAAGAATAACATATACATGTGAAGGAGAAACGATAAATACAAGATCTGAACACCCACTACAGTATATAGTAGAAATAAATGGAATGAAGGCGATTAGGTTTGTCTTGCAGTTACAATGGACCAATATAGACCTCTGTATACTTAATAAAGGAGGAAACCTTAACTATAAACCAAACCAAGAGCGCCTGCTCGGCTGCATAACTTTCTGTATGCAAGTTGGTCAAAGGAATCAACAATATAGTTTGATATGATAATTTTGTTTGTGGAAACACCACGTAAATTTATTACTGCAAATAACTAGAAGTACATGCATGCAGCAACCCCTCGCATATATTTTCCAAACATCAAATTAACATGAAGTATTTGGAAATGGCCAATACTGAACTCAGGCTCGTTGAAGTGTTGCCATGACAACACGATATTTTTAAATTTTCAATTTTTTTTTATATCCTTTTGTACAAAACGATATAGCCATATAAAAATAAATTTCCGAAATATATACTGTAGGTATGTTATTCTACTTTTTGTGTGTTTTGATTTAATGTAAAATTTAACTTGAAACGCTTCGTAAAATCAGTTTGAAATGTTCTGCATTCAACTATTAGCCATTCCGAAGTTGATGAGAGGACTGGGTACGAGTGTTAAAAAGTGCCCAAATTAAGAAATGAACCAAATCACTAAAAAGACCACCTCAAAATTAGTAAGTATACAAAGTTTGAAGACGTTTACATGAATACCCTTCGAATAATAAGCTTTCAAAAATTGTGAAATTACTGATTAAAAGATTGTTTTTTGGACGCGCGTCCCAAAAACAAAAATTACAATACATTTCATAGTAAATATCACGATTTTTGAAAGCTTATTATTCGAAGGAATTCATGTAAACGTCTTCAAACTTTGTATACTTACTAATTTTGAGGTGGTCGTTTTAGTAATTTGGTTCATTTCTTAATTTGGGCACTTTTTAACACTCGTCCCCAGTCCACTCATAGTGGACATACACTTTAGACTTTGCTAGTGCTTTCCTTTCCCCGGGTGTAAATAGCCGGGCGGAATTAGTGCCCTTGCCCCGGGCTTACGGCCGGAACGGCGCTCCGTGCCGTTGGCTCGGTAATTATTAATCATTTAATTATTTATTGCAGTAATAAATTTACGTGGTGTTTCCACAAACAAAACTATATTTTATCGCCATGCAGACATACAAAGAACTTAATATAGTTTGAATTATATTTCATTCTTTTTAAACCTTTGACAAGATTGCAGCCTTTGAAAACATTTTACTCGCTTATAATAGATTCATTTCATTTATACATATCAAATGAAACTAATTAGGCCTGGTTCAAACGTCAGATTTTGCATGTGTCGAATACAATTCGCATTTCATTCGAGCGAAATCAATGAAATTCGACGTTTGATTCAAACGTCGCATTTTGCATGCATTTAATTCGAAATTGTAAGTGTTGTAGAGTGTAGACACGCTCCTTTGATAGTTTTAATTAATAGATTGACATTTATTTTAAACCTAGCTGTGGTTTAACGTAAACAACAAGAGCGAAGTTTCGCTCAAAAATAAACACAGTAACAGTATGTCAGTAGGGCCATTTATACGACTATACCAGCGAAATAAGCCGTGGCTCATCTTATTTAAAGCACGAAAAAATATTATGTAGTCCCGTATAAATGTTCTTTTTCGCGACTTTATTTTCGCTTGTATATAAACTCACATTAAGCTATTGACTATTTTTCACACAAACCACCCAAAGAAAACATGAAATTATTACTATTCTATGTCCTATACGCGAAATTTGATCTATTAACATTACATGCCGTCCTTCTTTTACCTCGTTCCAGACTTTTTCGCGAGCCCCACCCTAGCAGAATTGAATTCGACACATGCAAAATGCGACGTCTGAAACAGGTCGCATTTAGCTCGCCCTTACCTCGCATTATGCGACCGGTCGGGTCGAATTTAAAGTTAAGGTCGACCGCAATTAAAAACGTCGCATTTAATCGTTTCAGACGTCGAATTTTGCATGCACATAATTCAAGCAATTGAATTCGACACATGCGGAATGCGACGTTTGAAACAGGCCTTAGATTCAAATGTTACATTTTATAAATTGAAAAGCAAAAAGAAAGAATCTTCAGTTTCAAAAATATTTTATTTTATCTCAAAAGTATGACAAAAATATATCCAGATTAAAGTTTCTGTTCAAAAGTGGTCATGAGTAATGTAGATCTTGCCTCATGCTATAAAGAAAAAAAAACACATCAGTATGATATATCAAAATCGAGTATAGTCGTATCAAACAAGGATGATGGTTAGTTTGTTCTTAATGCTTTCCAGCCACCACGGAAGCTGCGGAGGTGCGGGGCTTTGATATGATATTCAACGCAAATGTCCTTTATGTTTGGTTTGGAAAATTGGTACACTATAGCCCCGTTTACACTACGCTCAATTTTTGGTACGGCACGGATAAAATTGGTACCCGTACCACTTTTTTGGTTCTTCGACTACCTATTTAGCTAAGCCCCGTTTACACTACGCTCAATTTTTGGTACCGTACCACTTTTTGGTTCTTGGACTACCTAAATAGGTAGTCCAAGAACCAAAAAAGTGGTACGGGTACCAATTTTATCCGTGCCGTACCAAAAATTGAGCGTAGTGTAAACGGGGCTTATAACTGATATACTACTAATTGCATGCTCAGCTGGCTATACTATCATTGCATACTAGGTTGAAATTCTCCTTTTCTTTACGTGGCACTGTCATTGGCTCAACCAAAATGATTAGTTTTGGAAGGTGAAACATATTAGTTGGATCTTCTACAGTGTTGCTGTTTTAAGTGTGCCTACGTGATTTTCAAAGCAGAGCAACGCTCAACTTGACCGTTGCATATTTGTGTAATTCTTCTTTTACATAGAGAATAATGCATGGTGCGCGGAAATACCAGATTTATTTCGATCCTTTCCCCGGGTGTAAATATCATGTTCAACACGAGAAATAAATCTGGTATTACTAGTTTCATAATAATCTGACATTGCAATCGACCAACGAAAAATTAGTTGGCTCGAGCGGGATTTGAACTTGCATCTTCGGGTATCTAGACTCGCTACCCATCCCTGTTGACTCGATAGGTCAATAGGTAGAGCGGCGGTCTAGATAGCCGAAGGTGCAAGTTCAAATCCCGCTCGAGCCAACGAATTTTTCGTTGGTCGATTGCAGTGTCAGATTAATATGAAACTAGTTTTTCGTATCTCTGAGATGGTTCTGAAATAAATCTGGTATTTCCAAGCACCCATGTATTTTTCTGTGTATTATACCGTATAAAGGACAGTCTTTGAAAAGCGATAATTTTTACAGAAAAGCGATATCGAAAAGCGATAATTTTCACATGTGAGATAATAATAATTTTAATGTTTAATGTTTACAAAAATTTACAAAAAAGATTATATGTTGCATTCCCTGCAAGTAGCCAAGCTAGTCGTGGCAGGCAATGAATTTTAATGTAGGTAGTTTAAGTAAGTTTAGAAAAATATTTTTACAACTATGTATATAAAGTTAATTGATTATGAAAAATATTGTAATTTTAAATACAGTATTACAGATCTAGCATTACAGAGAAAAGGCAAGCAGCTGAAACATCCTTATCTAGTATCCTATCTCAAAGGATTTAAGGTAATTTAAACCATCATAGTTACAATTGGCAATCTTGCTATTAGCATGGGCACATCAACATAGTGATTCTCAGTTGTAAGAATTGTAAAGAGGGCCTGGCACATTTTGTGTTTAAATATATTTTTACTTTTTGAGCGAAGGCCCTGGTCAATACTATTCCAAATTTCCGCACCAAGTCGAGAAAACGAACATTTCTGAAGCTCTAGGCGAGAATATTTTATATAAAAATTATCTTTCTTCGCCGCTCTTGTATTATAATTATGAACCTCAGATGTTTTTTTGAAAAGTTCTTGTAGAGTTGTTGGCGAATCTCCGGTTGATATATCGTATAACATGTTAGCAGATTCTTCGATATACATCATATTAATAGGAAGAGAATTTGAAGAAACAAACAAGGGAATTGCATGATTATCAAATGATTTAAAATACATCAGACGTAAAACGCGTTTTTGTAATATAAGAAGTTTCTTAATGTGAAACTTGGCAGCATTTCCCCATGCAGACAGTCCATACGAAAGGTAAGGTAAAATTAAGGACTTATATATATCTAGTACAGTATGATTTGGAATAAAATATCGCAATTTTGAGATAATCCCAACATTTTTACTAATCTTTAATGCAATATAGTCAATGTGATGCTTCCAACTTAAGTGGCAATCAATAATGATACCAAGATACTTAATATATTCTTTGCATTCGAGTGGTGTTTATTTCTTAGAATTATTATCATACATGCTAATTACTGGATGATAATTTACTGATTTCTGGTGTGGGCGAAAAATAACAAAATTTGACTTTTTTATATTAAGCGTCAGTTTGTTGGCATTAAGCCATTTGCAAACATTATTCAATTCAGAATTTACAACAGATTCAAGTGTTTTCAAGTTTTTATTAGCATATAGTAGGTTGGTATCATCCGCAAAAAGAAAAAAATTAAAAACGTTTGATGACTCAGAAATATCGTTTATGTATATTAAAAAAAGTAGAGGCCCAAGAACTGATCCTTGAGGTACTCCACACAAAGTGGTTTCTCTATCAGATACACAGTTTCTAATCAGAGTTGTTTGAGAGCGGTTTTTTAAGTAGGAAGAGAACCAGTCATTTACCACTCCCCTAATACCGTAATGATTTAATTTACCCAACAGTATATCGTGGTCTACCGTATCAAAGGCTTTCTTCAAGTCTATAAATATACCGCAGGAATAAAGTTTATTATCCATGTTAGTTTGGATTTTGTTAACAATGTCGAGAATGGCATGTTGTGTAGAATGTTGTTGACGGAAACCATATTGTGAGGGACACAAGATATTTTTCATATTTAGGTATTTGGCTAAACGTTTATACATGATTTTTTCAAAAATTTTATTAAATACCGATAAAAGGGATATGGGTCGGTAATTATTCGGTTCAGTTTCATCATCCGCTTTGTAAATTGGAATTATTTTCGCAATTTTGAGTTTATTAGGATAAATTCCAGTTTGAATCGACCGATTAAAAATATCTGCCAAAGGTTTGCTCAGAATGTGTTTTGCACATTTAATAATCCTCCAAGGGCATGAGTATAAACCCTCAGCTTTTTTGGTTGGTAGTGTGATAATTTCAAGTTCAATATCTCTTTCAGTTATCGGAATGAAAACAAATTAATCTAGTTGAGATGTGTAGTTGAGGCTATTTGTATGTTGAAGGTAATCAGAATAATGTTTTTCAGAATGTGGCATTTTAGCAGCTAATCTTTGTTCACATGTAGCAAAATGTTTATTCAAGATGTTAGATATATTTTTAGGATCAAATGTTAATCGAGAAGTAGGATCCTGTCGCATGGCACCAATATTATTTTTATTATTACGGCTACGTCCCAAAATTTCCCTTATTCCTTCCCATTTCTTACTCATATTTGTGTGATTCAATTTGAAATATTTTTCATAGTACAATTTTTTGCTGGCTCGGAGTAAAGTAACAATATAGTTTCTATATATTTTATACTGAGTTACATTATTTGTGTGAAATAACTTATTTTTAACTTTAATAGATGCCTTTATTCCTCTAGTTACCCATGGCTTGGATAATTGTTTTGCTTTACGCCTAGAAATGGTCTTGATAGGAGCATGTTTATTTATTAGTTTATTTAGTTTATTAGTTTATTAGTTTATTATCATGAATAATCTCACATGTGAGATTATCACTTTTATCAGTGCTCGAAATCTCTATAAAGCACTATACTTTATATTATAAAATCCAATAATCATCGGCAAGAATCTTCACTAATTTTATAGTTGGACATGTGTTGCACAGAAATATATCTGCCTATCACCAGGCAAAATATAACATGGTTATTTTTAACAAAATTATTGTGGGGAATAGCTCGAAATGAACTCTCCGGCATGCCCCAGACCCGCCTCTTAGGAGAGTTGCTTACTTTATTTCAACACCCCCTCCATTTAATCGTGAAATCGCTGCGCGGGTCATGAACCCAAATCTAGAGCTTGAAATGTCCCCTGTAACAATGCATGACTGCTAAATCTTATCCTTGTTTGACTGGAACTTACGTTTGTATCCGTATAAACAGACTGAAGAAAGAATAGACATCGTATTCCATTGAAATGATATGGGCCAATAGCCATTTCCGAACTTCGGTCGAAATCTTTGCTTGCACATGACGTCACTACGAGTCATTAGGCGCCATCTTGGTTGATTTTAAACTTTCGTTAAAGACCATGTAAAGTCCGTTCAGCGCAGGCTTACATTCCAATGGTTGGAAACCGACCGTTGGAATGTTATTAATATTTCGTATCTTTTGACCTTTCTTGAATTGAATCACTAGCCTGTATTCATTTACAAGCACAGCGAACCAGAAGAGTGTTAAAAATTCAGTATAATATGTATTTAATCATATTTTACAACTGTAGCACCGAGTTCAAAATGTAAACAAAGTGTTTGTTTACATTACGGACTTTACATTGTCTTTGTTTTCTTTACATGGTATCTGCTCCTCTGACCACAACCCGTATTAAGTAGCAAATTTAAAACCCATTCCATTTAAGGTGGTCTAAGTTGAAAGCAGTGTTAGTCGTGACGTAATTACCAGAAAGTCTATTGTTGTTCACAGTTCACTTATCATGTTATTATTACTCAAATTACAGTACCTCATCTTGTCTCTAATATTTTTTGCTTTATCATTAAAAATAACACCCCCCTGCACTCCTTCTGGTCAAGGCTTGGGAGGGTTGCGTCTATCCGTAAATCCGTTCCCGAATTTAGAGACCTGTGACTTCACCATGATATACTTACGTTTATAACACAAAAACCGTACTTCGTAGTCGTTACACCAACGATCGGGTTGAAACTTGTTTACACAAGATATGCCCCAATCTGTACACCGATGGCATTCACGAATCACTTCATTTCCCTCATACCAGGGTTTCTTGCTGTACTTAATTCTGCAGTCGGCACCAACTGGCTTGTAGCCAGAGCGACATGGTGGCTAGAGAGAATAAAAGGATTCCAACAACAATAAACATCTATACAAGGTGTCCCAAAAATTATACCTACACAAGTCACTAAATTCCGCAATGAATTCTCGCAGGAGGCTCGAACCAAAGGAGGAGTTCTCCAAGGAAATAAAATTGGACTCATCGCATTTATCAATGATCCACATCAATGATCTTCCACTCATAATCCCCCCAGTTAACCCACAGGATGAAGATATTTTATTGTTCATGGACGATACAACTCTATCGAAAGTCATTGACATCACCCAACATGTGTCCAACTGCCCAATCGGGAACTCTCAACGAAACGTGGATAACATATTGCAATTTACGAAAAATGGAACTCAATAGTAAAAAGCGTAGAGATGCTGGTAAACTTCAGGAAGGTTAAAACTATAATCTCGTCAATTGCTATTGACGGGGATATCTTCACAAGAGTAAAATCATTTAAGTTGCTGGGTGTTTCGATAGACGACGATTTAAAATTGAATACTAATACAGCCTATATTATAAAGAAAGCAGTCAAACGATTATATTTCTTAAAGGTGCTTAAATGTGCTATAATGCTCCGATGGAAGATCTTAAATCCTTCTATACGGGTGTAATAAGGTCGGTTCTAGAATATGGAGCTCAAATCTGGAATGGCAATCTCACAGTTGAACAGAGTAATGACATTGAGAGATTACAACAATACAACAACGGGCGCTAAGAATAATCTTCCCTGGTATGAGCCCTATATAGCCTTCAATGATTTATCTTTCATATCGTATCATCAATTTGTCGTTCCAGGTAAAACAAAACAAGGGACTGGTCATTAATAATGGGAGGGGGGCGGTGGGTGAAAAAAGTGGGCAGCTTCAGCTGAATTGGGGGCGGCCTCAAACTGTAAAATATGTGACAAGAGGCCTTTATCGTATCCCACAATATATTTCACCTTTTTTTAATAGTTGCTGTAATGGTAGTTTCTATAGTTTATTACGTATATGCAGTTTACCATGAGAGTCTGAGTAATTAATAACCACTTTAAATACTAGTCCTCTAAT